TGTGTGTGTGTGTGTGTGTGTGTGTGTGTGTGTGTGTGTGTGTGTGTGTGTGTGTGTGTGTTTTAACAGCACTACAGTACCTGTTTGTCTGAAGCAGGTCAGTCTGGGCTGTAGATAAATGCTTCATCACACACACAGATTCAGCTTCTGGATTTATTTCCAAACATTATAGAATATTGCTTACAACAAAAAGAGACATGTTGCAATGAGCAAGAGTGAGAAAAGGATCTCTGTGAGCAAGTTTAAGAGTTCAGTGAGTATTTATGTGCTGCAGAAACCACGTCTTTTCATTTCTTATCATTTATTATGAGCCCTCCTGTCTATAAATGTACTGCCACGTTGTTTTGTCTGTATGAACTGCTTTCAGGTGTGTTTTATTTGCTTTACTATGCATCTGCTGGTAAATAATCACCTCATTATAAAGTGTGAGAAAGTACAAAAACATCACAAGTTTGTACCCTTCAAATTGACTGTGTGAAAGTACCACACCCCTGACACATCTGAACATTTGCAGCCTCACTTTATTTGCATGAACAGCAGGTTCATGTGACTGTGTGGGTGTTTCAATTTGTAAATTGAATCAAATTTGTGCAAAACTAAAACCTGACTAAAAAGTCTAGAGTCAAACCATGTCTCGTAAAGATAAAAAAAAAAAAAAAAACATATTCTTACAAAATGTTTTCATCTTTGATTATATGCAGAAACTAAGCTATGAAACAGAACTAAAACATTTACAGTAGAATGATTCATTAAATATTGAAAAAGTTGAATGTCTTTACTTAGCAGGTAGATGGCACTGTAACACCAGAACACGCACACATCTGAAAAGTTGTTTTTGTCTCAACGATTATTGCTGGTGTTTCTGTGATTTTTAAAGACAACAATAGACAAAATTTACCATGAAAGATATTTTAGTCAAATCCTTTGATGTCTTTCATTGCCTGCCTAAAGTGATGGTAGGATCATGGAGCCATATATGGGTCACTTGATCAGAGCCTCCTCCTCAGTAATGAGGGTGTTACTTTGGTCCATTGTGGTGAAGAAAGAGTTTAATCTGAAGAAAAAGTCCTAAATTTACTGGTTGTTTATGTTACAGCCCTCACCTGTGGTCATCAGGTATAGATTATAACCAAAGAACAAGAGCCTGGATACAAAAAGTGGGCTAAATGAGGTTACTTCGTGGGGTGGCCAAGCTCAGTGTTAGAAACAGGGTGACAAGCACCGTCATCCAGTGGGTGCTTGGAGTAGAGTTGGTGTTTCTGCATCACAAGTTGTTTGTTGAAGTGATTCTGGCATCTGACCAGAATGGATGAATGGAAGAATGAATGGATGGATGGGTGATGGATGGATGGATGAAAGGCCTTTGTATAAAAGGTGGCTATAAGATGATGAAGAACTCAATATAGTTTGATCATATTGGAAAAACCTCAGCTTATTCTCATGTTATTTTAAGTTTTTAAAACTAAAATCATACATAGAATTAATGATACCGATGAAAATAATATTTCCAAACTCACATTGTACAGAATTGTATCTACTTAGTTATTGTGATTCGTTTTTAATGTCAATACAGTTTTCTCCATTTTATCAGTTTGCATAATTTCCAAAACATTTTCTTTTCATCTCATCTATCCATGTCCTGTTTTTCTTCTAACATCCTGCTGAACAGAGTGTGGATCACATGATAACTCTAACTGGACTGGCTGATTAAGAGCCATGTCTTATTTAGATTAATTTATCTCATCGTGCTCTAACTCAGATTCTCGGTATTTAAAATAGAAGTTTGAGGGTGGACTGACTGAGGGCTCTGGTTCTCAGCAGCTGAAGAGTTAACTGGCTCAGGAGAAATTTCTTGTTGCTCAGCCTTTGGCAGAAACAGACCAGAGCATCTAAAATTGCTTTAGTTCAGCTTGTGGAGGGAGGGCAAGGCACTAGTTAGAAAACCTTTCACCATGCTTTAACGCTACCCCTCCTTTATTTCTTTCTTCATCCCATCCCTTCACTTTCAGACGGACAGACTGAAATGTGTCCTTGTGTGTTTATGAAAGCACTTGCTGCTCTTCAGGTGAATTGTTTGGAAACGTGACAACACCCCTCACTTTTCCTATGCATAAATGGTTGGAATCTGTCAATGATCTTGCCGAGAATCATGCTCCTTTGATAATAAATTAATGATGTGCTCGTTAATGTGAGATGAAAGTGAGAGAAGGGCAGGTCAAAATGATGAAAGGAGCTTTACTGCAGTTGATGAAGTGATCTCCACATTTGATGTACACTCAGTATATCAAAGTGTTTGGCCCAACCTCTTTTATTACTCTGGCATAAAAAACATGCTCTTTATGTTTACAGTTTTTCTCGTATGCTTTGGTGCATTTGTCTGAATTAAAATTCTCACAACTGTTAGTTCAGCCTCCACAACACTTGGTCATTTGTGCAGATCATAGGAGCAGTTTCTCATTTCTTCCAATAAACTGCTTTTGGGCCAGCGTCAATGGCTTCTATACAATTCTTTGCTGTTTTATAACATGGATAACATGTTTTATAACATGTTTTATAATACGGAGAGCATCCTGTGCTCCAGCATCAACGTGTGACATGGAGGCTGCACAGCTGCAGAAAGAAAAGCTTTGCAGAGAGTGGTGAAGGCTGCACAGAAGTCTGTTGGAGTCGGCCTCCCCACCATCACAGACATTTACACCTCCAGATGCAGGAAGAGGGCCACCTGCATCATGAAGGACCCCACTCACCCAGCACACACACTTTTTTGCCCCACTCCTCCCAGGAAAGAGGATAAGGAGCATTAAGTGTAGAACCACTAGACTGAGGAACAGCTTCTACCTTGAGGCTGTTAGACTCATGAATCTCTAACCAGGATAATCACTGTGAAAAAAATCACATCATGTTGCTGCTGATCTGTTTCATGTTGCTGCTGATCTATTTCATGTTGCTGTGTTCATTTGTACTCATCTGCTCACACAGATTCATGTTCTTGCTGCTGTTTGGTGTATTGTTTTTATACAACTAGTGCTTAGTGTATTTTTAATTAACGTTTTTCTTAGTTCATATCTTAGATCTTATTACTGTGCTTCTTATACATTTTAATGCTTTTGTTGAATGTAACTGGGACCCTGTGTACACAATTTTGTTCCACCGCATGTACCACATGTGGTGTGTATGACAAATAAAGAACTTTGAAATCTTGAAATATTATCATGTATGTATAGTATATATGTATATATGCCATGCCATATGCCATGTCAGTCAAACTGAACTATACTTATGAATGCAGAATAGTCATTCCCTATAAAACTAGTAGTCCTCATTTCATTGCTTGAGTCATTACGTACAAAAATGTTTAAATAGTTGTCAAAAGTTGTCAACCAAATTGTACGTTATGTTAAATTTTATACATTTTTTCCTGAAAATGTCTCCCAAATTGAACAATTTTTCTCAGGTGCACCACATAGTGTGTACAATTTTTACAATACTGTGACACAGAAGGAAGGTCTGCATCATGGAAGCGGGGTGAAGATGAAGAAAAGGAAGGGGACAAAACAGGGGAAGAGGAAGAAGAGGTCAAATAAGTGCATATACAGAGAAATTATGGTTGCAATTGTGAACCAAGTTGTCAATCATGGCCTCACAATGGCTGAGGCTGGTCGAAGGGTGCATTTTACTGACACTGACACTTTCATTGACATGAATGCTTGCTTTTGAGTAAGTGACACACTTTTACAGGTTATCAGCTATATGTTTTGCAGTTTGTACTAACTGTTCTGAGAAATGCACTTACCATTGTATACATGTTAGTAGTGATGGAAGAAATGCACCAATGTGACGGAGGAAAATCTGTAAATAATGTACGAGAGCCTAAAAGTAGTCCAACATCTGCTACCATATCACATATTGACCACCAGTATGCACACACGTGAGCACACACACATGCAGCGTCAGCCTGCTAAATTATTTTCGTGCCGTTTTTTAAGCTCTAAGGGAAAGAATGCTAAATTGAAGCAGGAATTGGAGAAGCGTAGGTTAAGTTTTCAGCTACAAGTGTGAGCTTTGTTCCTGGGTTATCGTCACAGTGCCTT